TAACTGAATTTTATGTACAATTTCATATAATTTATTGCACACATGGCAATTATTTTTAACTCTTAATTTTTATTCATTTTTTTTGTTTTGATTGCAGCGTAGCGATTTTAGTGTAATTTATTTGCTTTAGCAATATAATTATTTACAATTGATTTACGTATAGCTCTAGATACATATTTACATTTGTATGTTTGCCATGTCAAGCTTAATTTGTTGACAAATAAATAAATCAATTAAAATAAACACTTGCTGTGAATAACTAATTTTATCGCAGCAAAAAGTAAGTATCCGCTCTAATGCGAATGCGAAAATGATATATATTTTATATATTTTTTTTTATTTTATAATCAATCTATTACCGGATAGCTAAAAGAAAGTTTAGAGAAATTATTTATTTTCTTTTGATAAATTTACGCTTACAAAGAAAGTGGAGTTTAGCCGTAACTATATGAAACTGTTCAAATAGCAAGCTTTTACTTAGTGGAAATGCATTTCACTACCACTATGTGGTTAGTGGCTATAAATTTTTGAACAAAACTTTTACAAGGGTATTAAAATCACAGGTCGGCGAATATTCCTGAATTTGCAACCTAGTGTAATTAGTCAGTGATAGTGCAACTTTCGTTCCCCTACCGCTAACCAGAATAGTAAAAGTATATTTCAATATCACTATGTAGTGCTAGGGAAATTTGAAATACACTACAACTAAAGCCCTAGTGGTAGTGAAAATTTCAATTAAGTGCAATTTTCCCAAACCTAGTTGATTATTATATTTTCGATAAACCTTTTGGATCAACTATTTAAGCCTCGATGCTGCTGGCGTATGCAGATCGTCGGGCTCGGGCAGCGCAAGTTCTTCAAGCTGTGGAATAAAATTCAAAAAAGTAGGCTGAATGAAAACAAAGCAGGGTATCTCCTGGCAGCACACCAAAAGTCTTCGCTTGTTGGAGCTCTTGCCACTGATGATAATTACAGTTTGGAAGTAGTAAAAAAAAATGTTCTACCTACGATCCATCATAAATGCCAGCAAGAGCGCCAGCTTGGGTATCAATCGAAGAATAACTCTTGCCAACAGGTGCTACCTGGGGCTCAGTAGCCAATTGAAAAGCAGAGTCCGCTCTTGACAAACCAAAGTTGGTTGAGAAAACTCTACAGATTTTTGCATATGCCTTTTCTCTTCCCACAATTTTTCCGGCATTTTGGGTTTGAGTCAATTGTAATAATTAGAGTGGTTTTTTCAAACCGGTTTCCACCGTTATTTTTTATATCTACAAGACTGATTTTGATTCTTGTTACGTTTGATCTAAAAAAATTTTGAACTTATTTTACTTTGCTCTTTTCTCAATAAAAGCAATAGAATTTATGTAGTATGTATTCGGTCATGACTTCAAACCAACATTAATCATTTTCACTGTATGAAAACTATGTAAAATAAAGCCGGTTTTCTCTTAATTTCAAAATAGGCAACCGGTTTTTTTTTTCAATTGTAATTTTTCGAATAACTCGAAAACCGGTTTTGGAAAAAAGTCGAATAATCGAACACCCTAGTAGTTATACAAATTTTTATAAAAATACATATTAATTTTTTTTAAAGCTCAATTGAAAAGAACTTTCCAAACTACATAATATTCAAATCAGGGACCGAACATAACAGTTATTGATGAAAACTCTCATGGAAAATTTCACTATGAAGGAAATGTTCTAAAACTAAGTGATACATACCCATCGATTTTTTTTTCACCTAGACTCAAATTTTAAAATAAATTTTTATTTGCGTTTTTATGCAAAATTAAAAAAAAATTAGAATTATTTATGATTTTTATATTATATGTCTTAGATAACAGTTATTTAAGACTATTATTTATAAAAGTCATCAATAAAAATCAGTCAGTGACTTTTTCTTTTAAATCAGTCACCGACTTTTACTTTTTAAATCATTCATATAAAACTCAACACTTTTCGCAGTTAAGAAGGTGTTGGGAGACAGCTTACTATGACCTATACAAATGACTTTAATAAGTATGATTTAAAAAATAAAGGTCAGTGACTGATTTTTTTTTTTATGACTTATAAATAAGTCTTCGGTAACCGTTATGAAAGACATATAATTTAAACTGTTATTTGCAGATTATTTAGATAAAAATCAAAAAAAAAATTGTTATTTTAGATTTATACACCAAAAGTCAGAAATAACCGTTATTTAAGGAGTACTTAAATAAAATTAAAAAAAAATGTGTTAAATAGTGATTTTTTTAATAAAAGTTGTAACTGTTACGTTCCCTGATTCAAATGAATCTGCGTTGCTCAATACGTTCGTATATTTGCGTACGTATGAATGAACATTTAGATATGAGTATACTATATACCTGTACCGTTCAATTAAAGTAGCTTAAGTGACTTTAGAAGATTTGACATTGAATTAAAAAATTATCACTTTTCCTTGAAATTTTTTATTTTTATTTTTATTAAGCTACTACTAAAAAAATATTGTTTGGGAACCCAATGAAATGTTGCTTTAAAGGGAAATATGCTATGCCGACTTAGGCTACTTAGATTCAACGGCACAGATAATCATGTATGGATAGGTACATACAATATCCCTATGCATTTTATTTTATTTATTCATTTTCAATATATTGTAATTAGACAAGACTTGTACGAGTATAGGCAGTTACGCGATTATAACTTCGTATTAATTAGTTATGCCTAAGCTATACATTTAATACGAGTAAGCCTTGCTTATACTACTTATATATATTTATATGTTTTTAACATTTATGCTTTTTATCATCTTTTTACAAGGTTTAGATATATTTATATAATATTCTTATTACATATACATACATAAAATATACCTATTTGACAAAGCGAATTTGATTTACGAAATATTTTCCAAAGAAACTGAGCAAATAAAGTATTGCGTTGCCATCGGCGTAGATTGAGAAAAAACGAAAACTGGCGTGGAAAGGATAATCAAAAAACATTTAAATGGTTTTGAAAATTTAAAAATTAAAAAAACAAACTAATGTTCCATACTTTCACCCGGAGATATAATTAGTTGTCCACTGTGACCAATGGACTATTCGAGAGAAAGATTTTGTGGAAGATTTACGGGACTTTACGCGTTGGCAACGGCGAGTATCGGAGGCGATGGAATGATGAGCTGTATGAGCTTTACAACGACATAGACGTTGTGCAACGAATTAAAATAAATCGGCTGTGCTGAATCGGAATTGTAGTTCGAATGGACGCCGAGCTCCAGCTCTGAAAGTATTCAACTCGAAACGCGCAGAGCCAGAGAAGGGCCCCCACTTCGATGGAAAGACCAAGTGGAGTAGGACTTGGGTACACTTGACCAATTGGCGTCAGTTGGCACAGAAGAGAAACGACTGGCGTGCTTTGTTAAACTCGGCCAAAATCGCTTCGGTGGTTACAGCGCCAAAGAAGAAGAAGAAGATTTCCGCCAAACCCAGTGGTTGAGACGCCTCGATTGTAGGCTCGGACGCCGACAAAAAAATTGGTGAATAGATTCTTCCTCATTTTCAGTACGGCAGCTTCTGCAGAGAGTTTTTTTAACAGGTAGTACTTATTGGCATCTTCCATCCTTGGAGCATTGTTGCAATAGCAAACAGTGTTCCATGATAAGCTTTAGAAGTTCTTCTGCTTGACTATAGACAAAAATAGTAACATCCCCGTCTGGAACCATGATACGCAGCTAAAAGTTAGACGGCTTCTGTATAGCTTAGATCTCTTCTTCGAGGCCAATACAGTCGTTCGGCAAACGAAAGGTGGTGCACAAGATCTGTGAGAAGGAGAATCATCAACGACACACCCCAAAGGTTTGAACTATCCTACCTGTGGCTCTTAGTGCTGAAGGAAGTTCCGGCGATAACTAATCAAAGCTAAAATAATAAAATATTTGTTTTGGTATTTCCCCTTTCAGCTGATGGTCACCTTACCGCCTATAGGCGACGTACCGAAATTACTGATCAAAAACAGATTGCGTTGGCCTATATATTAGGTTATGTTACGTAAATTAAGTCTAGACAAACTGAGCCTTTACGGTATGCATGCTGTGTTATGCCCATCATATGAATGCAGGTCAACTAGCCGTGCAAAAGTTTTTGGGGCGAACTATGTAATACTTCTCGGCCTGATGTCATTTTTCCGTGAATGATTTAACTTCCCTGACTTCAGTATGAACATATCCTCACCTCTATTTTAGCATCTTACGAAAAGGCTTGTTGCAATCTTTCTGCTTTAAACCCATCTAAAGGCCAGACAGCCCACGCTACCTTCTCTCTATACGTAGGCCGATTTTCCGCATGGTTAGCAAAACTATGATCCGTGCTATTCTAAAAGTGGGTTCCTCTAGGGACCTCGGATTCCTGAACGAAAGCTGTCCAAGACCTTCCAGTCTAAGGTAGGTCGATATATTTTTTCAGGTATAAGAAGCATGGTACGCTAAACTTTGGATTTTATTTTTGTGTGTAAGAAAAGGTTGCATTTTAAAGATGAATTTTAAAATTGAAATCGACCTCAGTGGATGCCCTTTCTGGAGCGGTACCCTCCAAATATGAGCGGTCTGATAAATTTGGCCAACTCTGAACCTGTGCATCACTCATTAAGGTTAAAGAAATTTATCGGTACAGATTTTACAGAAACCAATGGAGGGATAAAGAAGTTATTTTTGAAGAAGTTGAGGAGAGCGGTGGCAAAATTTTTTAGCAAGCTGAAAGGGAAAGAACTGCGACTATAAGTCGGTTCGATCAAGGTAAAAATCTAATAATGTAGGTAATAAGTGAATGTCTTTGTGCCACAGGGTATTGACAATAGAGGCATTTTCTGTGTTTTTGGCTGGCATTTCTCAAACTAAATGAAACTATCCACCAAATCCATATATACAAAATAAAATTCCAAACTAACAAAGTGTATAAAGTACTAAAAAGTAAAACGTTTTTTAAGGAACTATTGAATATTAGTTTTTATTTAACGTCATTTTCCGTTTACTCGAAATATCTTTCAATACGCTCAACTAAATGCACAGCAATCCATACTTGAATATACATAAACACATACATATATTTTTTTTTTTTGGAAAACGTGGCTTTGATTTTCGTTAAAATTATATTATCCGTAAAACTTAAGTCTTGCGATATACAGTGAAATCATAACCCATAAACTGTTTTATATTATTATTGAGTTTTAATTACTAAATATTTATTTAATTTTTATTTATACAAATCCACGTAGTTTTATGAGTGATTTCTCAGTAGTAAAAAAATTAGTGCAAATCTGCACAAATAAAAAATACTTGGAGACTTGTGTAATCTGTCAGCTGCATAGTATTTGATAAGCAAAAGGGGAAAAAAGAAATGAGAGAAACGAAAGGATATGCATAATAAATATTTTTAATATTTTATTTCATTTTAATAATATTTTGAGTTAATATTTTTTCAAACAAATTTTGAGGAAGTTATGTAGTTTTTCATTTAATAAATTTCTGGGATATTAGCAAAAGATTTTTTTTTTAAATGATCTACTAAAGTGCTTAGCATAAACCTAAAATTTGTAACCAAAAATAATGATAAATTTTTGGTGAAAATCTATAATTTTAAAAATTACGATATGTATAAATAAAAAAGCTTTTTTTTATAATGACTTAATTTTTTGCTAGTTATTTTTAAAAATGTGTACATATCTATATATTCCTTCCAAAAATTAAATATTTACTTGTTTTTATAACAACACTCACCTGCAGAGCCATCCAATTGCTTCGGGGGTTGTTCGGTATAATACATACTTTTGCCAATAGCCAGCGTACCTTTGCGATCGACTGCATTTATACTCGCCCCTCCCAGCGCAGACATACCATTGCCATTTCCCGCAGACATGGAAATTGTGGCAGAGTGCGATGAAGAAGCCGACGATGCACCAGCACCCAGCAGATCTGCTTTCATCGAATGAATGTCTTTTTGTAGTGCATTCGTTGAATCATTTCGTGTGGGTATTATATTATCTAGTGGAAATAATTTAGAAGGAAAGAGGAAATGGAGGAGCGGTCAAGTTATTGCTAATATAAACTTGTTTAAAAAAACACCTAAAATCATACGAAAGCTATAGATAAAATGCACCTTTTTGTTTAAACAAAACTTAATCTAAATTTTGTAGATTGATTATTTCTTATGTACTCACTTTCCCTTGTTTCGATGGTTGTATGTGTGACTTGTTTTGAGGGCGTAGATGGTAGTGGAATCTCTGAAAAAAATATTATTTTCGAAGTTATTAGCGGAAATAAATATTGGGGTTACTTTTAAGGGCTACATATATTCATTAGGATAAGTAAATAAAAGCAAACGAAGGGTCGCAGTAACAGTCTGACACTTTATTATAAAGTTTCGAACTCGTACGATCTGGTTTTCGCAAAAACTATTTGAGTATTCAAATTCCTTCCCATCTTAGTCGCTAAATTATTTGGGCGTCACATTTGACCATCTCAGCCTTTTCCATGCTTTCAGACAGAACCTTCACGACAGAGTGGAATAGGGCATCTGTTCAGGGCAGAGCGGTTAGTGTGATAATCTACTTTGAGTCGATGCTTTCAAAGAATTTCTGAAGACATTGAAAAGGACGAACCGTCCGATTTTTGGCCATTCTTGTATTTAGGGGAAGCTCTTAGATGCTCTCTATTGACTTGTGATCGCATAACTGAACTTTGTTCTCAAACAGGATAGAGTGGAAATAGCTGCGTTAGTTCTAAGAGGCATTTCAGAATACCACAACTCTTGAGATTAACGGTAGGCTAAAAGCTCTGGAACCTAGGCACAATGAACTTATAAAGAGATCCATTGGAAAGTAGTTGGTAGTACCTTTTGCTCCCTAATAGTTATAATATATAAAAAAAACGGACGTATTAGCTCAAAAACATTCAGAGAATGCCAATATTTTCTTCCTAACGCATCAGACTACTTCGATATCAAGTTCATATACTCGATTTTAGATCACTTTCGTATTACAAGAAACCCGAAAGCCGACAAAACATGAAAGCTTTGCAGAATTGTTTCCAGATAGATGTGCGTTTAGTCTGAGATATTTCAGCCAAAATCTTTCTGTCTACAAGTAGACCATAGTCAGTCTAACGACCTCTTAAATCAAAGAAATCCGCAGGTCGCGCTACTTGTAAGGGCCTTAACTACTACTTGTCTGATTTCAATCCATGCGATAAGCACAAACACCACCTTAGGTTCCTACTATTTCAGCTGTATGAAGGATTATAAAACGTAAAATTGGATTTTTAAAATGAAGTAAACCTATAAGATTATAAAAATGTTTGAGAATGCAATGCAGATAGGAAATTTTAGAACTTAAAAGCTCTACTAAACTTTTATATACAAAAAAAAAATAAAATTGCGGTATTGTTTGATTTAAAAAAATAATAATCTAAATATAGAGCGCAAGCTCACAGACAAAAATGAATGTAGAAAACTGCATAACCCTACGCATGTAGTAAAAATACACACAAGTACATATAAGTATAAGAAGGTATGAGCACAAAAGCGACACTGTAATTTGTGGCTATCAAATAAAAATGTACGTTATAGGTACACATACAAGTATCGACAACGAAATTGTCCGAAAACGAGTGGATATAAAAATAGTAAACGTGAATCGCAAGAAGAAAATGAAAAAAAAGCAATATTGAAAAAATGGACATAAGTAAGTACCTACATATTTTCTAAAAATCGCTACAGCCAAAAACAGTGGCATGTAAAGAAAATAGTTTCATTTCATTTCATTACCGTGGGTCGAAAATCCGCTTTTTTAGAATTTTGATTGGTAATAGCAAAAAATGGTTCATTACGCTTTAAAAAAAAATCTGTGTGAAATTTGGAATTTTTGGTCAACATCCTAGGCTCGCCCAAGTCCAACAAAGTACAATATGCTGAAAAAATAAAAATCAATAAATAAATTAATTAATATATATCTTTTTACTAAATTGCAATAATATTCGAAAGTATTAGTTCAACATAAATTGGTATATGGACCTTTTTGTAGAGAATCAAAGTAAGCTAAGAAAAACATTTTTTAGTTCTTAAACTTTGATGGACTTGAGCGAGTCTAGGATATTGACCAAAATTTTTCATATTTCACACAGATTTTCTTTAGAGCATAATGAACCATATTTTTGCTATTACCAACAAAAATTCTAAAAAAAATTCGGCCCACGCTAGTATGTATGTACATATATACGTTTATGGTAAGATATTCCGGAATTTTCTTTACTATGTTTGCATTTCTACTGTATTATATTTTAGTTCTAAACGTTTTCCTTTCCCATTCCTTTCTTCCAGAGTTTCATTGCTTGCAATGGATGCATGCATACACAAAAGTACTTAATCATTCATACATACATATCGCACCCGATCTTCAAAGGTGACACAACTCAAAATTACACGTTCGACAGAAAATACGAAAACCTATTTCATAGCACATGCTAATTGCTAATTATATGGGCAAGTACCCTTTACCTAAAATTTTTTGAAAGAATTATAGCAAAAATTTGCTCCAGCTTTTGCTGCAAGGTAAATAAAAGCTCTCTGTGGATGTACACGCATAGTGCATAAATAATTTCAAAAATGCCAAATTTTTAGTTGTGTCATTTTGAAGGTCGTGTGCGGCGTATAAGTGCATACATATGTATATTCTCCTTTGTACATATATACAATACTGTTTACGAGTATTTTTATTTCACTTACCGTAGACGCGTATGGAACCTTCCGTTTCGCCAAGTGAATTCTTGGATATGCATCGGTAGTTGCCAAAGTCGCCATATTGTAAATTTCTTATTGTCAATTTCATATGAGCACTGAAGAAGTCATAGGTTATTGTTATTTTCAGTTGTTTGGTTGCGTATATTGTATAAATTGGCATTAAATATTTTCTAAATAAATCTAAGCAGATTGGGTGGATTGTACATTGAATATTTTAGTACATAAAACGTAAGAAGTGCAAGTGAAACAGAACTTATGGCGTTTTCTTTGCTCGCAAAAAATTTCACCTTTTTTTATAAAGAGCGAGCACGCAATATGCATGTGAAGATGCTGAGAAAAAACAACACGGAAACTTGACAGGCCTGACGCAGGGCAGAATAAATGCAACATAATTTCGAGAAAAGAAAACACTATTAGGGCCAGTTGTTCAAAGTCTGGTTATCACTACCTCCCAGTTAAATATCATTATCGACGATTTCGACATCATGCATATAACATTTGATCGATAAAGCAGTGGTTGAATTGAACCGGAGCTTCTACCTCCGATTTGTGCTAATCACACATTGAACAACGGGCCCTTAAACTTTCAAACCATTAACTGCGGTACTAACCAACATGAAACCATAATTACTGCTTATATTCCATAAGGCCACAAGTAAAATGCATTATTATTATCACCGCTGAAGGTCAAGATACATATGTTTTTATGTCCAAATTTATTGATTTTCCAAGAGGACCAGGCTCGGATACACGGGTGTTTTGGGGACTACGACAGCTGTAAATAGCCGCACACCCGCAAAAAAGTGTCGGGGTTCGGATATCTCTTGCTTATTTTGATTCGCGGGACACGAATCTGAAGACCGTTCTGCTTCACCTCGTCAGGATTTTTTGCTAACCTCAAAAGACGCGCCTGTCACATAACATCCGCCTCGTTTTTTGGGGTTGGGAACAAATCCTGCCGTTATAGAACAAAACGACTTCAGATTCGTATTAAAAATATATGGGGGTAGGGTATTCCTGTCAAAAGTAAATGACAATTTTTTTGGAGGGCTGTGTACTTCACCCAGAATAACTTGAAATTGTCTCTTTAAAATAAAATAGCATAACTTCATAACTTTTTTTTTCTTTTAATGAGTGGTATCTAGTTTTACTAGCAATTATACTAACAATTAAATATTCTTCTCGAAGTAATGATTAAAAGAGTCTATCTATTTTTGAAATTTTGGCAAAAAGTGTTGTAGGAATAGAAAAAATAATAAAAGTTGTGTTAAATTTCAAAATTTATTCCAAAACTTTTCCACATATTTGCAATGTTAAGCAAATAGTATAAATATTTTTCAATCCATTTCTATCTAATTCTATTTAAATAGTATAAATATTTTGCTATCCAAAGCCATATAAGAACTTAAAATTGGTTGAAAAATAGCCGTGCTAAAAATTTTTTAGTGCGGGAAGTCATGTAAAATGATTTTTTTTTTTAAATAACTCGATAATTTCAGGGTGCTACAAAAATTTAAACCCATTTTTGTGAATTATTCGACCAGCCCTATGACTTCAAAAATTAAAATTGTTTAAGAAATAACCGGAAGTCATGCGAAAATGGTCAGCTCTACGAACTGTACTAGGCCACTTAAAAAGTGCGAGCAATTTTCGTTTTTTTTTTAACAACGTATAATTTAACCAAAAATAAATTTTGTTTCATTATTTTTATTCTGATTTGCTTATTCGTACATATGTATGTATGTATACTAGGCAAGCGTACTTAAAACTTTGCTCATTCTATTATAGGTAAATATGAACTTACCGATAGGAATTTTCTGTGTAATCAGTTTTATATTTTTTGCTCGGCAGGACCATCACCGAATTATATACCCAATAAATGATGGCTCTGTGAATGACAGACATAAAAACAATGTTTTCTTATTTTAGACTATACAATTAAACTTTACATGCACAGATGTATGTAGGTATACGTGTAAAATCCTATCGATAACTTAAATATTTATATTGAAATTAATAAACAAAAGCCTAAGTATGTCTTAGCTAATGAAATTGTAAGTAATTGCATATGTATAGAAATATTTTATATATATCTACTATGTAGTTACAAACACACATATATTTTTGTCATCTGTATGAATTAATCTTTTTTACAACTTCCATACAATCTTTACACACGCTTGGGCATATAACTATAGTACATACTACATACTTATGTGCGTTAGTTTTGGCAAAGCTGTCAGTAGCAGCTTTTCTTGACGGTCAGGCTGAAGACTGGAAATTTTCTGAAATTCAAAATAACTTAATTCTGGACTAACTTACACAAAAGACATACAAATGCTTTATATATGTAGATATGTGAGAAAATAAAATAAGAGTAATATGGGAATCTATTCGCATAAAATTACGTTAGCACCAAAAATTTTAAATAAGTACATACATATCTATGTAAGTGAATAACTTAGCTAACTTACGGAAATTATTTGAGCAAATATAAATAAAAACTGTATAAAAGTAGAGATCAGAAAATAAATATATATTTCCTTAAAAATAAATACACATTTTCAGTTAGAATTTGTTTCAGATAAAGGTCAAACACATCTACATACATACATACATAGCTAAAATAGTAAACTGAAACTTAACTTGTCTCAGAATAGTCAAGTATATGTGTGCTACTTCTAAACAATTTAAAAAGGCTGAAAACTTACTTAGGATGTGCCTCCGTGTGACAGTCAATTGTGACATCTGTACCAGCTGGCGCGCCGACGAGTTGATTGGGTACCCAAATCATAGGCGAAACTTTGGGAGTAAAGCGAATGTAATAATATAAATATAAATTTTAGTGACTCTCATTAGGGTGCCTCACCAAAAAAGTTACTTACTTTCCACCGGAATTATAAATGTATATACATAAAATAGAATTTAAGACTCGCCAAAATATTTCTGAAAAATATTAAGATTTTCGTGAGCTGTACCTACTTTGAAATAGTTCCAAAAATCTAACTTTTTATGAATAAAAAAATGTATGTAAATATTTTTTCTAAAACATCACCCCAGATGATAAAATAGTTTAAGCTAAAGTTCTATCAGGAGGATCAAAATAATGAGATTTTTGGAGATGTTTTGAAATAGGTTCAGCTCAGGTAAATCTCAATATTTTTTCGAAATATTTTGCTGGAAGTCTCAAATTGTAATACATTTTATAATTCGGCCAGTAAAACAGTAGCGACTTATTTTATAGCAGATGATGCACACTAATGTACATACATATATCCAGTTGCAGATTATGTACTTATGTATGTATGTATGTACACTAGGTGACAAATGAAAGTTTACACCTTGACCTAATACAATTTACATTTATTTTCATGAAATTTTTTTTGCATTAATAACACGGTTCAACAAAATTTTTATGTTATCTCAAAAACGGGTTCTTTTCTTCGGAAAAACTACGTCCAAGCTATATTTTTAAATATTTTTTGAAATTTGCCATTTTTCGACACTTTAACAGTTTTTTCTCAAAAACTGGACGTGCTAGAAAAATTTTACAAATGCACTTCAAATCGGCAACAAAAAATCTATAAGATGAGTTCGACCCCGTCTTTCAGATAAAATAAGACCAAATTTTGGTTGAACCGCGTTATTTATGAAAATATAGTTCGTTCTATAATATAAACCATATAAATCAAAATTCACACTTCAAATAAAATTCACAAAAATTCAAAAAAATTGCATCTACATTTTCTACTTTTTATTCAGAATATCTAGAAAATTTTCGAGTGTGCAGTTTTGTAGCGCATTCAATTTTAGTCCAATGAAGTGCAAGTTTCAACCGACTAAAAAATCGCGTTAATTTTTGAGATTTTTTTCTTTTGTACTGACTAAAATTGAATGGGCTACAAAACTACATATTCTAACATTTTTGTTAATTTTGTATAGAATGAAATATATTTTCATAAAAATAATTAATGCGAAAAATTTTTCAGGAACATAATTGTGTATATTATATAATAACAGGGTGCACAATTTCATTTGTCGCCTATTGTATGTAAAAAAAAATTCCTGACACTTCAGAATGTACTCACATTCAACATCCAAAATAATTCGCTTTGACACTGATGGCGGTACACCGTTGGTGGCTATACAGAGGTAAGCACCCATTTCATTGCGGCTTACTTTCGTCAATGGCAACACTTCGCCATCGTAAACTAAAACTGTAAAGGAAAAGATACAAATAAAAAAGGAAAAGTTAAATATAGCCAGTACATTTTTATGTAGGTTTAAATTACTCCTATTCAAGGCAATTGGGCACATGCATACCTTTCTTCTTCTTTTCGACGGCAATTTCTTCACCATCCTCGCGCCGCCAAATTATTTTCGGCGTTGGAAAGCCATCAGCGCGGCAAGTCATATTGATATTTTGATTTTCACGCACCGCCACTGAGGAAGGAGTGCTCTCGATGTCGAGTATGTTCGGTGGTACTAGAAATGGAAAGTTCAGTGATTAGTTAGTTAAATTGCTTAGTAAGCCTTTCCTTTTGCATTCAACTTACCCACAACCTGCAAATAGCCCACTTGGCTAATCATTGGATTCGTATTTACTTGGCACATATAATAGCCACGATCATCTTGATGCGCCTGATTTACATGCAGCAGCCATGTATTGGCATTATCATAGGTGATGCTGTAGCGTGGTATGCGAGATATGACATGTCTGTGAATTGTGAGTATCATTTGGCGATCGATGTGGATCCAGGCGACCTAGTTAGGCGACATGCCGAAATGATAGATTATTTCAATTTAATTAAAGTAGTTCTTTATTACCTTGTATCCCCCTAAGTGCTCGACTACGCATGGCAAATTGGCATCTCGACCGACAGCAACGGTTACATTTGGTATTGGTTGTGCGAAGCGTGGCTCATCCATCATCACTGTAACGAATGTGGACGTAAAATAATTTTGTGTTGACTTTCGATTACGCGTACATATTTAAACTAGATTATGTTAATGAGTTTTTTGTTTGCAACACTTGAAATTAAGCGCAAAAGAAAGCTGAATATGCATAGACGGGGCACCATGTGGTATGAGTAATACTGTTCGATATGGAGCGTTCCATCTTAAAACGGACGTGGTTCACACTTCATGTGTTTGATTTGTTTCAAATTTTTTGGGTTGATGCATAAACATAAATAATAAATAAATATGAAATTTCAGCTTGATTAATACATGTTTAAAAACTTTACAGCACAAAACCAAAAATAAATCGATTTCCAAATATCTCGAGAAAGGGGCGAGCAAAAAATTAAAAAAGCACACATACACACATCAAAATTCTCTATGAAAAAAAATATTCAAAATTTTTTCTTGAACTATTTTTCACACACATATTTTTTGATAAAAAAATTGTTTTTGAAAATATGCCATCTCAAAAGAAATTAAAAAAAATCACAATGGTAGCTCTGAGTATTGCGCAATATTTAAGTATAGTATTATGGTGTGCACTCTACAATAATTTGAGTTATGAATTTTTTTACACCGAAGTTGAGTAAGATGAGACCATTATAAATTTAAAAATTTTTTAAATTTTTTTTTAGTATGCAATTTTGTAGCCCCTTAAATTTTAGTGCAAGTTTTAAGCGGTTTTGCGCATTTTCTTCTGTAAGAAAAAAGTGCATATAAAATATCAAAAATCAACGCAACTGCAACTTCAAACTTGCACTTTATTAAACTAAAATTTTATGGTCTACAAAACTGCATACTTAAAAAAAAAAAATTCATAATTAAAAAACGGCTTAAAAAAAATTAAAAAAATTTGTAATGTACTCATTTTACTCAACTTCGGTGTAAAAAAAATATAATAACTGAAATTATTGTGACAATACTATACTTAAATATGCGCAATACTAAGAGCTACCATTGTGATTTTTTTAAATTTTTTTGAGATCGCATATTTTCAAAACCTATTTTTTTTTTCAAAAAATGTGTTTGTAAAAACTTTTTCAAGAAATTTTTTTTTTTTAATATTTCCTTCCATAGAAAACTTTGATGTGTGTATGTGTGATTTTTTTCAAATTGTTTCCTCGTACCGTTCCCGGGATATTTGGAAAACTATTAAATCGATTTGCTTTTGTTTTTGTGTTGTATAGTTTTTAAAATTATATTAATCAAGCTCAAATTTCATATTTATTTATTATTTATGTTTATGAATCAGGCATAAAAATTTGAAACAAATCAAACACATTAAGTGTGAACCCTTCCGGTTTGGTATAGAATGCCCATATACAGACAAAACGCGAAAATTGTTTTGAAACGGATACGTTTTTGGCCGTTATTCTGAAATTTTTCTCGATGAAGTTTTCGTTCAATACGCTTTCTGTCTGCACTTCAAAGCTACTTTTTCATGGTTCGAAAAAAATAAAGAAGCGCCTAACGGAATTCGAAAACGACGCTTTCTAGAAGCGAACAAATACTAGCACGTCCCTCACTGCACGCTCAGCCACTGCCGACTACGTAAGCATGCTTTCAAATATTTAGCTTGAACAAATAAAATACGTTTATTGCTTTCAAATAACGTCATCTTTTTCGAACGTTTGCAATGTTTGCCGGATATGAAAACGCATGAAAATTTTAGTCGTTTTCCGTTTGTTTCCGGATACGGAGAATTGTACGAGACCGCACTGTCGCACGTTTTTCTGCTGGCTGGGAAGTCATTGCTTTTTCATCGTCGTTCAAATTGACGCGGCAAAAAGGAAAAAATAAATTTATTAATTTATTTTTCTTTGAAGATCTAGGAGCAAATTAATTAATTTAGAGCTATAAAAAGTTGCCCAGAAGAGGGATGAAACATCTGTTAAATCTCATAGCAGACGATCACTCGGGCAAGGGCGCACACAATGGACCGCATCACGTTCCCACGACAGTCAGGTCTACGTGACTGGAACGACTCAGGTGCATTTCTGGCTAAGGACTGTCACTACAGCATCACTCCCAAAAACTCTTTTGGGAATTTGTATGCTATTAACACAAAAATGGATACCATCAATAATTTTCGATTTACTGGCGAATAAACGATCCATAAACCACAATGACCCCCCACACACCGCAGCAAAAAATTTGAAACGAGCATGCAATCAACTTGTAGCTAGGCTGCAGGTCGAAAGCATCTTTCAGGAAGATCAATATCTAAGTCCTCCCTTGGTGGAGGCGCAAACCAAGAAGTGTTTCACTGAAACACTTTTTTTTTGTCCATTGAGTTGAACCTGAGGGTATATACATAATTGGGTTTTTTTTCGAAATTGATGCAAGTTAAACAAGTGCAGGTAAAATAGCTATAAAGGCTCAACGGAAGGGTGATTTAGGGGCAATGTAGTCCTCTTGTGCACGACTTCTTATTAGAGAGGCACGTATAAGTGTTCGCTAGTCACACAGACCATTTTCAAGACGAGGCCGTCTAAAGAAGCCATCATAGTTTTAAGGCTGAAATACGTGGGCTATATATATACATAAGAATGAATACATTTAGATGAATTTTTATTCGCGAGAGCTAGGGTGAACGAGGTATCCAAAGGGGTTATGGTTCAACTTTATGGTCGATTCAATAATGGCAGGGTCGACTTATGTAAAACAGACAGACACTCCATACGGAGAATTCACATATATGCTGAAGAATCGGGCGGATACGCATTGGAGTAGTGAAGACCAGGTGGGGCCGTGATATCTCCTAATGTTTAGATAGGCGATTTTACATAATGCGGACAGTATGCATCACGAGTCACATAGCCCTCCGCATTGTCCGGGGAACTAACTTAAGTACCCTAGAAAAACTGGTCATATATAAGGACTCTTTCGTATGCCTCCAAATCAGAGAGAAAATTTTGTAGCCCATTTGAGCATTTTAGCGTATTGGTAAGTAGATAATGAATACGAATTTGTAATATTTATTACTTTTTCAGGCGTATTGCCAGACTTTCACAGAGCAATAAATAACAGCTCAATCAAGTTAGCGGCGCTAAAATGAAAAAATGAAGAAAAAATTTGTTCGTATTATTGTGCTCATTGTGTGCTATTTTCGGCCACTT